GTCCTCATGACCTCCACCTCAGCTGAGAGTACGGTCAGGGCCCTTTGCCGCTTGTTCGCAACCCACGGGTTGCCAGACATAATCATTTCTGACAACGGGCCCCAGTTTACTTCTACCACATTTCAGGAATTCCTGGCCTGTCAGGGAATCCGGCACGCGCCCACAGCCCTGTACCACCTGGCCTAGAATGGCCGGGCGGAACGGGTGGTCTGCTCAGCCAAGGAGGCACTGGGCCGCATGGACTGGGGTGACTGGCAGACAAGGGTGGCGGCTTACCTGCTAAGCCAACACTACACCCCCTGCCCAACGACCAACAAAAGCCCCGCGGAGCTCTTGATGGGCCGGCGCCTGCGGACCCCCCTGGATAGGCTTCACCCGCTCTATTCAGGGGATCAGCCGTGCAACCTGGGAGTTTCCCCTCCCTGCTCTTTCCATGTGGGGGATCTGGTTTGGGCCCGCTCGTTCTCTGGGGAACCTAAATGGGTGGCTGCCTCCGTTGTGACCATAACCGGCCCCTGTTCCTACAGGGTCGGACTGGCCGATGGATCCGAGTGGAGACGCCACGTGGATCAACTAAGAAGGCGTCTCCCCATGGAGACCGGCGCCCCGACGGATCCAGGGCCCAACGACATAGCTGCCTGCCAGCCGGTCCCAACGCTCCAGGCCTTTCCCCAGGCAGGCCTCTCCTACCCTTTTGTTGCAGGGTTCCAACCTGCACTTGACTTCTCTCAACCCGTTACGGTTCCAAACAATGGGGCCTTCCCCAGTTCAGGCCTCTCCTACCCGGATGCCCCCTGTTGGTCGGCGCCCCATTCGCAAACTCAACCCGGTCAGGTTTTTCCGCCAAGTTCCTATGACAATCCTTCACCGGTTGCCGCCTCCCGGCAATGTGACACTTCCCCTTTGGCCACACCCCCTTGGCCCAGCCTACCTGTTATGTTGAGCCCGCCTTCTGGGCCGTCCCAAGGTGGCATCACTCGGACCTCCACTCCCTTCAGGGAGGAGCTACAACAAGCAGGTCTCACCCCTCCAACGACTCCAGGCGAACTGAGGAGATCTGGGCGGGTCCGGCGCCGCCCCGCCTATCTAGATGGCTACACATGCTCCAATCTTGGGCATGCGCTCTAACCCGGGGGGAAGGGGTGTTGAGAACTCATAAAGTCCTCGTAGTTACGACCGGGAGGCCAGCAACAGACCAGGCTGCGCCCTGATTGTCTGGGGCGCAGCATAGCCTGTTGCTAGCTGCCCGAGCCATCCTGATTGGTCGGGGCGCAGCATCAGCAGTAGCCAGACGCTTGGTGAGCGCCCATTGGTCCGTCTGTTCTTGTTGCCTGTATAAATACAATGTCAAGCGGAGGATACATTTGAATCGCTGTCAAACTAGTTTATAATAAACCTGTTCTGTTGAAGTCCTGGCTCTCGCGTCTTCTCTACCCTCGATCTTCTAAAATGCCCACCAAGCCACGTCCACCAAGCCACACCATGCCCACCAAGCCACG